TAAAACTCCATCTTGGAATGTTCTACTTTGCTCAGTCAATAATATTTGTAAATGTACCATTCTCTGATGCTAGAATTACAATGGAATGTTTGGACTACAGTCATAATTGTGTATTTATCCTTTTGGGATGTCCTTAGAGGACCAGACAGTGCCAAGAGCTTAAAAAGACTTTAAAAGATTACTTAAAACTTATTTCCATGCTGTGTGCTTCATGCATCTGGCTTAGAGGGAACATGCAGTACAAAGTCTAGAATTAGTTTTCATTTGCTTTGAATTTTTCTTGTGCCCCATAAGCCTTATTGTTTGGCTTTGATTCACAAACACTGTATATGGGTGTTTTTGTTTTTCTTCTATTGCTTGAAACTGCAAAGGATACATTGTCGGTGGTAAAAGTTTTTGTGGCGAACTTCCTTAATTATTGGGCCTTTAAAAAGAAAACAAACACCCCCCCCCCAAAAAAACCAAAACAAGAGTAGATTAGTTTCTTGTACAGATACTATTTCAACTGCTTTTGCAGTTCACGGTAGATAGTTAATATTGATTGGTAACACTATGTAGCCATAAAACAAGAAATAATGAATCATCTGTTTACTTGAATCGACAGAGGAGGAGGCTAAGGCCAGTGTGCCCCAGGCTTATGGGAGTGTAATAACATTTTCAATAATTGTGAAGTGCTGAGAGTGGTTTACATATTGTTCCAAAGATAGTGTTCACAGTAGCATCATGTCCTGGAATTTGGAGGGAAATGTGAAAGTCGTTGTATTTCACCCTCTGCAGCAGGATCAGTTTATGTTAGACCACATAGGCTTTAAATTAATGAAGTGTAGTGGTCTATTTTCTGCTTGCAGTATATTACCAGTTGGTAGCTTCACATCATATATGAACCAGTATGGGATGAAAACCAGGGGTCAAGTGTCTTTAGAATGTAGACCTGGAAGAAAAGGTCAGTGTCCCTCCGTAGAGGGGAAATGCAGGAAGTACCATCTGCTTCGGGGACAAAGAGTCAGAGGAGGAAGAGGGTATCTGTCAGTGACAGTGGATGAATGTTCAGATGGTGGGAGCTCTTTGGAGAGGTTCTCCTTTTTCTGTCCAGGCAGAATGGATAAGGCAAAGGATTAAACAATGCACATGAATGGTAAGTTGAAATATTTTTAGTACTTTTAATTAGTAGTGTGGAAGACGCATACTTCGCTTTGTTTGGGGATGCCAGGTTGACAAGTAAAATACCCAGCTTCTTACATGTACCTAATGTGTAGGCTGGCTTCATTCAGTAACAGTTTGGAGCCTTTTGGTTAGGAAGCAGGTAACTTACCTTAGCTAATACTGATGTATTTTGTTGCAATTCTATTTCAAGGAAGAGGATATCTGAAATGGAGAAAAATGTAGAGATAAAAGATCAAGTTACTAATTTATTTTGTTCATTGGCAATGTAGACAAAGAACTCATTATGAAAATTAGGATGGAGAAGGAGGCGGACTGGTTTTTAGAAGTCCCTTGATTAGTTTCATGTTTGTTCCACAGACTGTTGTATTTAGTTATGTTGGCATTTACATGGTCTTAAGTAGGCTTTGAAGTTATCAGGTCACACCTTATTAACAAAAGCTAAGGAAGACAAGGGTGGATCGCACTTTTGTTGTCACCTTTGCTTATCTGGAGACTATTTTCTGCTTGACCGGGTTAACAGCTCAATAAGCCACCATCACTGCTCTTCCTCAAGTCTTACTATCTGAATCTTAGTATCTAATATTGCACTTCTGAAGGGAGACATCTAAAAGCAAGACATTTGGGGGGGGAAAAAGACAAGTCTGCTTTTGTAATTTAACTTGTTCAAATCTCCTGTCAAAGTTTAAGCGGGACTTAAACCGCTTAAATTTGCGATGCTTACTCAGGTTTCTGATCCTGAAATAACTTGCCACTGCTGAGTAACTTTTTCTTAATACAGTGATTATAATCTACACAGACTGGGCATAATAAGGTGCTGTGCAGGTTTGTGTTCAGTTCGTTGGTTGGGGTTTTTTTTATTGTGTTAGAAATCTTTATTTTTCCTGTTTATATAGGTAGGTACAATCCTGTTTGCTGAAATAGGCTTCAGAAACCATTTCAGGGAAAGTATTTCTGAGGTGCACGGAAAAGGATGATTAAAAATTTCTGATACCCAGCAGTTACTTCACTGACGTGGTATTACCTTTATTGGGTAACATGAGAGATCAGATCATGAATCAGGATAATGCTGACACTACAGTCTGAATCTTTATTGCAAATAAGAGTCTAAACTTCACAGCAGAAAATGGTGAGTGGCTCACTTGCCTAGCAGACCTTAACGTGACTTGCTAATGGCTGTGAAATGTCTCAGTTGTTTTATCTTCACTGGCATTTTACCTCTGATTGGCAAACTTGATCACATTACATTCTGTACCTCAGAGCAGGAAAAGTGCTGCAGTGGTCCCCAGCTGGAAATTGTTCAGAAGGGACCTATTCGCGTGTGTTCATTGAGGTAACCCGTTGTTTTAGGTACAAATGGTACAGTTTGACTTCGGTCTTTGTTAAATGAGGCCAGAAAACAAACAGTACCCGGGAAGGGGGGGAAGAGGCATGTCAAAAAGTAATTCAACATGAAGTTCATGTTCTGTAATTAATGTGTGTTGAGTTTAGATTTTGTCACCTGACTCGGGGCAAAATGGAAACATTTCATGGTACATTTGGTACATTAGAATCCTTAAATTATTCTATTTACAGCTGTAATTCAGTGTTATTTTCTAAATAACACCAACAAAAATGTCGCCGTTTAACTTTGGTTTTACAGTTAATGGAGACTATGACTTTTCAACTGTGTGCATGTGATCTTTTTCTTTTTTCCTCCTTACTAAGAGAATAATTCACTATTACATTAGAATTCTTTCTATACACTAAAACAGAATTGCTGTTGACTATTAGATGTCAGATTCTGCTTCACAGAGGAAGGAAAATCTGAGGATGGTATTTACCAGGAAAGCTGGTATAGTGGAGCTGGCCAATTTAGGTGGGGGGTGGAAGCCAAAGCTGGAAGGAGAGCTTACCAATTTTGATCAATATTAATAAGTTGGTTTATTTCTGTTGGCTGGTTGTCTGATCATGCACTAATGTAACTTTCAAAATGTGTTCTTGAAAAATCATTTTCAGGCCTTGACAGATTCCTTAATGAGGTTTGAATTTTGAAGGCCTATTGAGCCTTTTAATTTTTATAGCAACTACTCTAATCCTCTTAAAGGAAAGTATTTGTCCAGAAAAAAACCCAGCCTTAAATATGGTTAATAGATAGCTTCGGGTTGGTTTGTATTTCTAGGCTAATTTAAAAAGGAAAAAAAAAAAAAAAATCTACATTAAGTTCACAAAGAGGTCAGGAGTAATTCAGTCCCTGATCTCTATGCTCTGTTTAGTGTCCGTATGATCAAGTCACAAGAAGGGTCATGGGATTTAATTTTCATTCATGTTAAAGTCTACTTGTTTAGATAATTGGAGCCACTGGACTAGTTTGTCTTTGAGCTGGAAAGAAGTATCTAAAACTAGGAAATCATGTCATTAGTAAAAAAGAAATGCAGCCTTGGAGAAAATGACAGAAAAAGGAAGAGAACTTCGTGATTGCATCAAGCACATAAATTAACTGTTTGTCTATTTCTTTTTTAATCTTTAGTGTATTAGAATCAGAATTTCACACCAGGTTTTAGTTATCTTCTGGTGCACACCTTAATCACAGGTTTTTTTAACGTAACTAATGCAAAGGAGATAGTACATGCAACAAAGCTAAGCTGAGCAATGGAAAGGGCAGCGTGCAGTTCTTAAACAATGAAGTATTTGTCGTAGAGGAGCTATGGTCATGCAGGACAGCAATGATTTCACCATTGCTGCAGCCATCAAGTATCTTTGACATTCCTGTGGCACCTGGTACATTCCCCAGCCCTAGTCTAAGACACAACAAAGCATTAAATTATCTTTCCTTTGGGCGGGGTGGGGGGGAATGTTCATATATTGAAAGGAGAAGATTGTAAGAATGCTGACGCTAGTTGAGGGAGGTACAGAAGATGAACAACTACACATAACCAAAAAATAGCTTGTTTTTGGAGGTTATTCCAGGAAACTGCCTGCTAGGAATCCTTTTCTATAATACTACCCTGAATATGAGGTAAGGTTTCAGGTTTTTTTGTCTTCTTTTCTTGCCTCCCTCCCTCCACCAAGCTTCTGTTTTATATCTGATTACGTCAAACTAAAGGTCAACAGATGACAATAGATCATTTTTATTTGGTGCTTTTTCATTGACTGGTACTCAGTAAAGGTCAGAGTTCTCGGAACAAATCCTGTTTGGACTTGGATGTCCTCTTTTATCTGTAGATATGTCTCAAGTCTTCCCCCATACTGTCAAAGATAAGTGTAAGGAGTACAAATGCTCCACTCACACATTCAGGGTTCCCCTTAGACTTCTGTTTTACAGTGTATGGTACCTGTGGACTTACCAACATAGCCATCTTTCTGCGGATCACCCCACGTGCTGCAGTGAACATGGCCTGGCTCGCCCACCAACCTGTTCACAACAGAGCCATTTCTACGTTGTGTTGCTACAAAGAATTGAATTAACTCTTGCAAATGTTTTAGTTTCGTGACAGGCATATTTGCCTCGAAGCTAAATAACATTCTTGTGAGTTTTTGAAAGGTTACAGTTGGGTCTGGCACTTCTTTTGGTACATCTTTCACAGACGTCATTTATTTTGGCTTGACCACCGCAATTGGGCACCTACTTGGTTTCTGACTGTCACCTCAGGATTTAAGTTGCACCCATGAAAAGCACATGTTAATATACTTCAGAGCTTTCTTCACGGCAAAAAAGCTGGAGTGACTGTGTACGTGGAACAAAATAAGTTGTATAAATCTGTATTTCACAACTAGAATCTAGGAATCTTCTTCAGTAAATCTACATAAGAGAAACACCTTTTGGTCCTTCAATAACAGAAAAGGTTGCTCTCTTACAGTTCGCTGGGACCTTGTCAGACGGTTTGGGAAAGACAATGGATAACAGACATCAAACCGAACGAGAATACATTCGATATCATGCTGCAACTAGTGGAGAACATCTTGTAGCTGGAATCCACGGACTTGCACATGGTAACCCTTAGCTGTAATTTTAACTCATTTCTCTCTTAAAAGTAATGATCAGATGGAAAAGAACAGTTTGTATTTCTCTTGGGTGATTATTTGAAGCCAGGGAAGTGGAGCTATCATAGGCTTTATATTTGAATTTGAATGCTTGCAGGTCAGAGTGGAGGGATTGTTTGTTTTTTAAGTTGATAGAAACTACATTTAAGAATAAGGTCTTTTCACATGTAACTGTAAGTAAAAGCTTTTTTGCAAATTAAAATTAAATTTCAAAGAAAGTTCATCCAAAACTTCAGTTTCTTTATAGAGTCATAAAATACCCATGCAAACAGTGTTTTTGAAGACCAGACATTAAAATAAAAATTAGTATGGTTGGACTGTAGCTTTCTTATGTTTGCTTTCAGTTCCAGAAACCCGAGTTTCCTCAGAATCAGTACATGAGTTTAAAATAACATTTCACCAGTTGGGTTATTTTGTGGTTTTGTTTTGGTTTTTTTAAGTCTACTAGGAGCTAGAGAAATGAATTTGTGTAAAAGGCAGTGGACTAGTCTTAGTTTGGCCAGAATCTCACATCAATTTAGTTCATGATTTATCTGTTGAAGAAAGTTAAATCAATACAAGCCAAGTTTAAATCAAATATTTATATTTTGCATCATCTTGACTCAGTTTGTTTAAATGTCAGTCTTTTAGTGCAACTATTGCAGCCTGTGTAAAGATAATCTGGCTTTCACTAAAATGGCAAAAGTGAAGGCTGAGCAAAAGTCTTTATGCTGGACTTCAGTCACGAAGAGACACCATAGGTATTTAAATGGATTGTGAGAAGGTTTCTCTCACACCAGTGTGCTGCAAAGTCTGATATAAATTATATTGGTAGAAATGCAGGAAATCTGAAATATGTCAGTTTTTGCTGAAAAGTCAATTATAAAAACACTGCATTGTGTTGTAATATCCAGTAATTAGTAGGACTGTTTTAGTTTAATTCTGTGGAGTTTTTAAATGCTTCTCATTCAATTTTTTTCAAAAAAGCAAATAACTGTTAAATCCTATCTGTTGAAATGTAGGCATTAACCATAAACTATAGTTACTCAAGAGAAGTGATTTAAATACTTTGTGTTTCTCCAGTTTGGAAGTTAAGATGCTGCCTGGTCTGTACTTCAGTTACAGACCTTAACAGAGTACCTGGCTCCTGAAAGCTGGAGCGCCAAATGGGGATAAGCATTTTTAAATCAGTGCTTAAGCCAGTTCACTAAAAATTCTGGTACTCTAGTCGTGGAGATGTGAAATCTGTAAAGTGTGTTCTCAGTAATATGAACTGTTCCACGTCTTTTGAAGCCTCAGTAGGTTCTTGATTTCTTCAGAGCAGTCAGATTCTCAGCACTGGAAATATGCACAGAAATGTCTGTCGGCAGCATCACAGTTAAAATCACACAATGCCAGTTTAAAATAATTGACTTTTTCCGGTGGAGAAATGCACTTTTCTATTTTCTCTCTCAAATTGTGTAAGCTTTTGTGGTAACAGAATTTTGTCACATTGTAAGTAACCGCTTCACCTCAGGAATAGATAAGGATTGTTTGTGTAAATACAGCTGGGAAATAAAACAGTACAGAAATATTTAAAAATACACATATTTAATAATGAATTAAATCTTTTTCTGTGGGATATTATTTTCTGTGCATATGCATGTGTATACGACATACACAAAGTATAAAGTTATTAGCTAATGTAATCAGTTGTGAAACAGTTTTTGTATTACATTAAATGCACAGCACATTTCTGTCAAGCTTGACAGTAAATCATTTAGGCAGACAGCATCAGCTGTGACAAGGTTCTGTGATTTTTAGAGGCAATACTTCTGGCCTACTTTGCTGCTCTTGTCTTTGCTAGGTATCATTGGAGGATTGACAAGTGTAATAACTTCAACAGTTGAAGGTGTGAAAACTGAAGGAGGTGTCAGTGGTTTCATATCAGGCCTTGGGAAAGGGCTGGTTGGCACAGTAACCAAACCTGTGGCTGGAGCTCTGGATTTCGCATCGGAAACTGCGCAGGCAGTGAGGGACACTGCAACTCTAAGTGGCCCCAGGTCAGTGAGCAGTTTATATTTCCAATCAATAATACTGTAAAAATGTGTATTAATACCTGCTGCAATTTCTGATCTCATTATCTTTCCTTACCCAAAGAAACAATAATTTAATCAAATTTACTATGAGCTATCATTAGTGATGTAGCCCATTTAATTCAATTTGCTTTTTCTTTAATAGATGGCATTTGTTGATACTGTAACAAGAGTGAAATGTGCACAGAAAAGCTGCAACATAAAATAGGAATTATTAAGCTACAGCATTAGATTAAAGCAAAATTTTTAGAAGGCTATATATACTGAGATTAAACTTCCACCATGGAATCCTTATGCAGAGTTGAAAGGGAAGGGTTCTTCCCCCTGCTCTACCTCCAGCTTCCATTTAGCTGTGTAAAAAAACAATTCTTCAAAGGTTTGAAGAATTCTAGCATCAATATAGTGTCATTGTCTACTAATTTTCATTTTGTGCAATAGTTCTTACTTACAGAAAGTGTGGATATATGCCCTTATGTCCACGTGCTTATCTGTTTACCCATACATATGTCGATGTTAAGTGTCAGCACATCAGGACAGATGCCTTGTCTTGCTTCCTGTGTTCAGTTACTAGCGTAATGTGGTCTCTACAAAATAATGATGATTATGTTTAAAGTAAATGAATGTTCACTAGCACTGACTGTGAATGTGGAAGAGGGAAAGGGCTAAGTTCTAAAAAGGCTGCTCTAAGAGAAGATTCTTTTTGTTCTTTTGTGGCCAAGAGTTTAGTTTATATGATAGTTCTATGCCAAGAAGTCCTGTTGTACGTACGTGAGATCCTGCGTGCTGAAGAAGTGAAAGAAAATGCTAAGTAAACTTATTGGCAGAAAGCTTAGAGAAAAATGTTTGAAAAATGTTAGGTTTTCTGGTTGTTTTGTCTTCCCATTTAGCTTTTCCATTTCCTGTGTTTTATTATACCATGCTTGGAGTCCTGAAGTGTCTACCATCAGTGTTTCAGTAAAGAACAATAAGCCTGATGAAGTGTGAGTGAGGTGCAGGAAACTTTGAAGAGTGAACCTAGGCGTACTTTCTTGTGAAAATGGAAGTGTTTACATGTATGTCTTACATATTGGGTACTTAGCTTGATTTGTAAAACCAAGAGGTCAAGGATTACAATTGGGTAAGTTCATACGCATCCACAAAATTACATGAGAACTCTAAGTGCATCCCTGAGAAAACACATCCACTGTTTTGCTTGTAAGTGTTTTAATTTTGTGACTGTACAGCTTGATTGGTTTATTTAAAGGTGGGGAGAAACACCTGGCTATACTGTTAGTTGTCTTACCAGTTGAGCTGTGTTTTTATTATAGTTTGTTTCAAGATGCACATATACTTAAAACTCACGTTTTGTCATACTTGTATGAGATACAGCCTATGCACAGTAGCGATGATGTTACCAACAGTTGACAAACTAGATAGCAACTGGGAAAGGGAGAGCCTCCAACCAGCCTTATCTCTGGCTTGTGTTTGCCTACGTGACATATTTCCCTTTAACTTGTTAACTGTCAATTAAGAGATGAGGTTAAGACAGATGAGCTGAACCACATTTGTGCTTCCACTAGATTCTGAAATACTATTGTCATAGACAAGCACTGTGAAATTATTTTACTGTTTACACACACTCTGCAAAAAGTTTCTGACCCAGCAACCTTCTACAAGGGGGAGGGGGGGAAAAAAACCCCAAACCCTCAAACAAAAAGAAACACCTTTCTCACTTACTACACTTCTGCAGTCTACAAAATCTGATCAAAACTTATTTTAGATAAACAAATGTACTTGAGAATATGTAGATAATGTAGGAGGGGAAAAAAACCCAAAAAACACACCACCGCCTATAAGCAACCTTGCACTCATGTTTTGTTTGGTAAGGGGTTTTTTTTTAATGTGCTTATATAATGAAGCAACCAAATTGTTCTTTCGGGCGTATAAAAAAAAAAACAACAAAGGATTTGTACATTTTTTAGACTGCTGTGTACCAATATCCCCCTGCCGCATTTGTTAACTGTTCAAATATGTGTGGTTTGGAATCAAAATAGAACAGTGTTCCAAACCCAAGTTGCTGGCTCCAGTTGAATATTCTGTTTAAGCATGCTGGGCCATGTAGACTCTTCCAAGCTAAGTACACAGAAACAGCTAACCCTGACGAATACAAGTTTATGGCAGTAACTGATCTCATGTAGTTTTGAACAATTGAAGAATGTGAGTTAATAAGCACGGTAAGAGCCATCTTGACCTTATCTTGAGACTGACAGCATATGTGCAAGTTTCTGGTATTGGTGCAAAGTTGAGTCAACCAGTTAATTACAGTTGCATTTAAATAGTGTGATACGTAACTGTAAATTATAGGCCCCTTGCAATTCTCTAATTACATGGTTGAATTTTTAAAAAGCCCTGAATTTCAGCTGCTTGACTTTAACCATTGGATGAGTTTTGAGTGAGATGAAGAATTTTAATTGAGGTTGTAGGTTTTCCTATAAGGCATGTTCTAATTCCAGCAAAGTTACTGAATTGAAGAGAAGACTGAGGAGGACTCTGTCGCTTGTGATACTGTGATCATGCTACATGGACATAAGTCTCTTTCGGCTTCAAAATGAATTGATTTGTACTGGGCCTCATGCAGCTAGCACAAACCCTGTGTTTGGAACATGGAGCCAAACTAATACGGCTGAGATGCAGACGATGGCTTTATAGCTTATGGTGGTAGTTTAAAAGGTGATGTGTTTAAAGTGCAAGAAAATATTTTTTAAATCTGACTTTAGGCTGGACTTTTTCAAGGTTAATCTTACAACTTATTATGTAATCATATAATTTATTATGCTTGTTATTTATGAATAAAGATGCCTTAATACTTTTACATTTTAATGCAGAGGAAAACATACAATAGTTGCAGCATACATCCAATTTATAAACAGTTAATGCCTGTGACTTGATACCTTTTTTTGAGTGGGTTTTATGTGTTCCAAGTACTCTAGTGTCACATACAAGAGTTCTGATTATTTCCATATTTGTCATATACTGCCAAAAGTCTTCAAGACCAGTTCAAAACAGGAAAGCTGTTATGTCTCTAGATATGCTTGGAAAGCTCCCTCCTAGAAACGTGTTTTAAGTCCTAGTGCAGCACAAGTAGAGAACATTTATATTTAGCTGTGTGTCTAACTTAACAAGTAGTGCAGGAAACTGCCATTATGGCTTTCTCTCAGGCTTCTGCCAGGTCAGTGCAAGTTTAAGATTATTCTTGAACTGTTGTTGCAAGGGTTTGTGTTCTTTTCTGATAGTCACAACGTGAAACTTAGAAGTAAGGAGGTAATTTCATGACCTACCCAATTCTAATGAATTCTGTCAGGGAACTAGACTGTGTTAGTTAAGAATAGGGTTTGAGATTGGCAAGCCATTAATGGTCACAGAAAATTCTTATGTAAATATTTGATTCTTTTAAATGTACTTCACCTGGAAAGAAGCCTGTGCTAGTTGTTCTTTTGTTCACCATTTTCATGCCATCACTCGGAAATGTGCAGTGAGGTTGCAAAGTTTGAGACAATGTCAACAGCAGGCGATTTTAATTTTTTTTTTCCTTTGTGCGTCCATCTCTCTGTTAGCTTTGATTTCGATTGTAAGGTCAAAAGCAGTAGAGGCAAGAGCCTGAGTTATCAGTGATACTGAGAAGAAGCAGCAGAAAATATGTTCCATACCTAATTGTATGGAACACCAACTCAGCTAATACACTGCAAAGAGAATATTCTCAAGGTTCTCAAGTTCTAAAGATAAATATTGCTTGAACCTTAACACCTCTGTCGGTGTCCCAAATTCCATCCTGTCCTTGGACTTGATCTAGATCTGACTTCAAGAGTCTTTACAGTTATGTCAGTCATGTATGGGCCACGACTCTGGTGAACGAGGTGTTATTCTTCTCTTGGTAAGCCCTTCCTAAGATTTTCCTAGAAGCCAGAGAGAAAATATATTTATCAGCTAGGATTAATTGTGTAAATCTGGAAATGTTGCATACAGGACAGTTTGGCTGATTTATCGGTTTAATCTGCCCACACTTGCGTAGTGTGATTTCCTTCATATCCTCTTTCCTCTTTTTTCCCAGTGGGATAACAGGTCTTTATAATGAACTGTTTTCTCAGATGATCTGTTTTCTTTTGAGCAAGTTTGTCCATTTACTGCGGTGGCACCCTGCTAAATGGCTGCTGTTTTCTCAGATGATATGTTTTCTTTTGAGCAAGTTTGTCCATTTTACTGCGGTGGCACCCTGCTAAATGGCTGTAGACATCGGCTTTTCCTCAGCGTTAGCCCTACCTCCCATCTTCAGTCACTGCTGAACTTGATTTTATGGGTTTACATCTTCTGTCATTAGTCTATCCAGATTCTTCCATTGCTGCTGTTGAGTTACTTTGAAATCCCCCCAGTCTGTAAGTTCCCATCAGTATTGTGCGAAAAGGGACCGTCATAGCCCTCTTCTGTGACAAGCTGTGCTATGCAAGTCATCCAAAATTGTGTTGGCTGGTTTTACTGCCATATCACATTGCAAATTGATATCCAGTTTTCTGCTTGCTATTTTCCCCCAAGAGTTTGTTTTTATGTTTTGTTTTATTTTACTGCTTTGCAAATATCTCCTTGTCATTTAATATTTGTGTTCTGGATTATTTTTCCCCAGATGAACCAGGTTGCAATTTTGTAGGTTGAATCCCATTTCATTTCCTGCCATATTTCTGACCTCTTCAGGCTCTTTAGTACTTCACTGTCCTCACTGGAGTTTTAAACGCCTCTTAGTTTGTCCTCTCCAAATACAATTTTACATGCTGCTTTTACTAGATCCTTGAAGTTAAGCAAGCCTGGTTTTGTGCCCGCACATTTTGCAGCACCTCAGTAGACACTTCTCCCTGCTTTAGTCATTTTCTGTTACCAGTCTCACCTGCTCAGTATTCTTTTGTTAGGTTTTAATTTACCTCTGGTAACTTTGTGTAGTT